GTTGGATTTGTTCCTATTTTTCATATTCCAAAGATGGCTTTGAATTCCCAACATGCTTTGGTGCAAGAAGATGCTGGAAAAGCATGTTGATTTTTAGTTTTCAGGCAGTTCCAAACAACACCACAGTAAAAAGTTTCTGATGCATACTCATGCCAAAAGAAATAGATATTGTCATGGCAAGAACAGGCAGAAAGAAAGAACAATTGTCTCTCTAATCAACCTCGTAGCTTCCAAGCACCCCTCCTGAGCTATTTAATGGAATATTATGTACTAAAGGTTTTCAGTTCCAGGTTCAGTTCAAAAATTATTCTGCAAAGGAGCAGAGACAGGAAACTGGTCCTCATAACATTTTGCTCTGATCTGCAAGCTTGGGGATACTTCTTCCATCTGAAACAAAAGATGTATTGAAGCCTGCATGGATTTGGAGGGTCTGTGGTAGCTCCACTGTGTTCATTACTTTCTCTTTAGGCATGATAAAGAGAATAACTGAGAAAGCAAAGAAACAGATATATAAAGCAAAACAAAGACAAATCAGGCAAAAGAGTACGCCCATCAATGGCCCCAGTTTTATTAAATCAATTCAAACTCTATGTTTGGTCAATTTTCTCTCTCTGTTTGCCTATACTGCTCTGGGAAGGTGCCACTGCAGCATTGTTAGATAAATTCCTTATTTTAGATCAGTTTAAGTCCCAGTGAAGAAGGCCTGGTCTGACAATGGAGTGAGCCAGCTGTCCAAGAAGATATCCAGAGTTCTTTCCATGAAGTGTGGATTGGATGAGTGCACAGTGAGGTGGATTGAGAACTGGCTCAAAGGCAGATCCCAGAGGGCCATAATTAGTATCACAGGGACAAGCTGGAGACCTGTCACTACTGGTGTCCCACAAGGTTCAGTTTAACTTATTCATCAATCACTTGGATGAAGGGGCAGATGCCTCCTCAGCAAGTGGATCTGATGACTGTGGTCCCTTCCAGCCTGATCCATTCTGTGATTTTGTCATTCCCTGCTGTTGCTAAGAAGCAGGTTAGCTTGCTGGATTGGATGTGTTTATTTACTCTGCGATTTCATTGCTGTGCAACATGTTAATTTGTCCAGCCTTGTTTTCAGAAGAGAAGAGAGTAGTGCCCAAAAACAATTAGACCGACTCATGTGTACTACATTTCATTTATAACATTGGAATAAAACCCAAGTATATCCTCAGGATTGGGTATTTTTGACAAGGAATCAGGTTAAGAAAAGGCTCCATGATCCCAGAGTCCATTTCACAGTAGACTCCAAAAAAATGTACCTCATTATAAAATACACCTTCCCAAGGAATCACAAGACATGAGAAAATCAAAAGAGAATTCCTGAAAGCAAAAGCTCTCCAGCAGAAAATCAATTTCAGCTACTTTTACCTTGCCCCAGGGAAAGCAGCAGAGACACTAAGTGGGGTGTGGGAAATGTCTCATACCTCTTCCTGGAGCTGCACAAGGCAGACCTCCAGACAGGAGCTTTTCTTTCCAAGACAGCTCTGCTCTAATTAGGGACTTTTACAAAATTAGTATGTTGCAGTTCCAAACAGAGTCTGGATGATTCCCTTATCAAATTTCTTTGGGTCTTAAAAAAAAAAAAAAGAAAAAAAAAGTCTTTGTCCTTGTTCTAATTGACAGCCTTACAAATGCAGGTGGACTGAGGGATGGAGGTCAAATTGAACTTAATGTGCTTAATAGGGCAAGGAACAAAATTTAGCAAAAAAGTTACACACACAAAAAAAATGTTCTTTGGTTGTTTTTTTTCTGACTGTCATGTTTCTTTTTCAAGGGTCTTTGTGCACTTCTGGGTGTACCTTCAAAATTAAAAGAAAGTAGTTGCCTTTAAATAAAATTGTTATGTTAAGGGCTTTCCTATAAACCAGATATGTGGGATAGAATTTAGTTTATAGACTCAAAAATCTATGTTGGGTGGACATAAAATTAATTTTCTGTATAGGAAAATGCATTCTGCTCCTTTTTTTCTACATCAGACTGCCAGCTTAAGCCTCTGGCTGGTTCCTATAATTCTCAGTATTTGGACCTTTCTGGGCATTGTTAAAGCTGGTCAACATGTTCTAAAAAATATATGTTCCCCCTTGAAAATGAAGACTGGCTGATGTTTCTCACTAAAACTTATGATTAATATAATTTGTACAGTCCAGCAAGAAGGCAAAACAATTTTTCTTTTTCAGGTCAGTATAAATCTCTGTGTCTTAAAGTTATTCCCCTGCATCCAATCTTTCATTTCTGTGCTTTCCTGTGCTTCAGACTCAGATTGGATTTTCTACACTGACATTAGCTGCTACAGTACAGCCTGGGAACAACTGTGGCAATTTACTTCCAAAGAGCAAAGGTGTCCAAAACATCTTCCTCATAGATACAACTCATGGGATGGCAGCCAGCCTGACAAATGCAGAATTAATAAAATAAATAAATAAATAAATAAATAAATAAATGCAAATATGGAACATCCCAGTTTGTCTTAGGTTGGGTGGGGTTTTTTTTAAATAATCTTTGAAGAGCTCAAAATCTTAAAATCTTCATTCCCATGTGGGAGGAAGGCAACTGAATTTGTGAATTTTGCATGAAATTGGCATTTTATGGCTCTGATCTGCTATAAAACACAATTTTAGGTTATCACATGGTAGAAAAACACTTTGGACTTCACATTTCTGTCCGTCCATGTGTTTTCCTAGGTGGACTCAGACTCTGGGCAATTTCTCATCAGTCAGTTGAAGTCACTGCAATGTTCAGCACTGCAGAACTTTATCTCAGTCAGATCTGCATCCTAAACTCTCATGAAAAGCAGTGGAGATGCACTCTTCTTTATTGAAAATGAACACCCCAACAGGACATATGCCATCCTTAAAGAGAGCTATAGAATCATAGAATCACTGAACAGAATCATACAATGGTTAGGGCTGGAAGGACCTTAAAAGTCATTTAGTTCCAATTCTTCTGCCATGGGCAGGGATGCCATTCACTAAATCAGATTGCTCAGGACTCCATTAAACCTGGCCTTGACCACTTTCAGGGATGGGGCATCCACAATTTTTCTGTTCCAGTACCTCAGCACCCTCTAAGAAAATAATTTTTTCCTAATATCTAGTATAAACAAGCCTACTTTTCAGTTTAAAACCTTGTCACTATTTGCCCAAATAAGAAGTCCCTCTGCCTCCTTTTTATGAGCCTCCTTAAGGTACTGGAAGGCTGCAATGTGGTCTCCCTGGGACTTTCCCTTCCTTAGGCTGAAAAACCCCACCTCTCTCTGCCTGTTTTTGTAGGAAAGATGCTCAATTCCTTAGATCATCTTTCTGGCCTTCCTCTGTACTCTAACAGGTTGACATCTTTCTTGGGCTAAGGACCCCAGACCAGATGGGGTCTCAAAAGCTCAATTCATCATTTTCTGGAATTTAAAATGGGATCACCTGTGATGTTACACTGCTTGTCCTCCTGTGTGCTGGCCTAATTATCCAATAGTCCTTCACAGTATATCCAATATCCAGATTTGTAATGATTTCAGGTCAGCTGACCTGCCTGAGGTGGAAGTGGCTTATTTCACTTTATAGCAAAAGAAAAAGATATCACTTAATGGCTGTGACTGCTCACAAACATTACTCTAGGATGGTTTTAGATGACTGCCAGGGCAATCCATGCAAAGAGTATGGAGAATCCTGATGATCTGCCCTGGGTTGCAGGAGGTGGTGTATGCATACATATCGCTAAATCTGGGGGAAAAATTGACCTTGAAGCAGAACAGAAGCACTGCAGAGCAGGTGTATAAGGGGATTTTTTCATATCATCTCACAAATCCACCCAGCATTCTCACCAGCTGTGCTCAATCTCTGATGTTCGGGAGGAAGGCGAGAGAAAGCCCCAGGACACCCTGTGCTAATTGTGGGGGGAAGGAACCTGCCTGGGACCCAGAGCCAAAGCCCTGAAGGAAGAGACCTGATTATGCTCTGCTTTTCATGCTGAGCTGCAGGGGTTAGGAGCACACAGAGGATGAGGACGGCTTCATCAGGATCTCCCTTCACAGCGGAGAGACAGGCTCCTCTCCTCCCCTTGGAAGCGTATTTGCACACAGGAACAGCGGTCGTCCCATTATTTATGCCAGGCGAAAAAAAATAAAATAAAAAAAAAAATAAAAAAAAAATAAAAAAAAGAAATCCCAGGCTCTTCCTTGACTGACGTTTGCTAGATAAAATCGTAGGTACAAAATACCCTTCACAACGTACAATAACCTTTAAAGGCACGCCAGCCAGCACCTCCTCTCCCCTTGGGCGGGTGGGATGCTGTAGCCAGCGGGACGCTACCTGCATGCTAATGGCCAGGGTGTTTGTGCCGAGCCCGGCGGCGAGCGCCGCTCCGGCAGTTTCCATGGTGCTGTCATGGTGCTCTCTCCCCACACCTTCACTTATCGGCATTTCCCACCCATCCTCCTCCCGCTAATGCGCTGCTTGCTCACCCCGAAAGGTCAGCCATTGTAATGATGATTTTAGCGGGGGGAGGCAGGGAGGCCGAAGGGTGAAAAGGTGAGCTCTGAGCGGCGATGTGCGTGGGAACCGGGGGCTCGCCTGGCGCTGCACAATGAGAAATTAGAAAGCTTCCCCTCGAGGGAGCGGTGCTCATCAACCCCCTCTCACTTCCCAGGCCGGCCGAGTCAGATGCCCTGGCGGAGTTAAAAAATGTTCATGAGAAGTGGCTGGAGACCCGACTTTAAATCCTCAGCATCTCATCGGCAATTGATGTGTCAGCGTGTGTGTGGAGGGGCGCCTCTGTCCACAGAGGAAACTGATACAAACGCTTACAGGCATCTTTTTTTTGTTTTTCTATTTCCCTCCTTCCCCCTCCCAGCCAGCCCAGTGCTCGTTTGCAGATGGAAAGAGACAGATTTTTCCTGCGACTTTCATCCTTTTGCCTGCCGGAGTAAAGCACTGCATCTCTTAACTGCCTTCCTTCCTTTCTTTCTTTCTTTCTTTCTGTAGGACAGCTTTCCTGCACGTTTTGGAGGAGTCCATTTTGTCAATCAGCCCTGGTACATCCATGCCCTGTACACGCTAATCAAACCGTTCCTCAAAGACAAGACAAGGAAAAGGGTAATTAGATGGGGGTGAGGGGTGGGGGTGGAGAGGAACCTGCAGACCTGGATTTTCCATGTAGCTGTATGTTTTCTTTTCTAGTTTTTCTCTCTGCATTTTCCGCATGGTATAAGAGAATCGCTGCTGTTATTAAAAATTAGAGTTTGGAATGGTCTGGATTGAATCAGTAACTCAGCCAGGGACCAGAAATCTGTTATCACTAACAAAGCATGGACATATTTTACTGGGACGTGCTCAGGGACAGAGAGAATTGGCAACATGGAGAGATTATAGGGCCTGGCTGAAGTTACTTGCAAGTAAGGAAAACTTCAGCTCAACTCTTTTTGTGGGAGTAAAAATTCCTATTTCATTCCTTCAGCAGGGTGACTGTTTTCACATGATGGTAACTCACTTGCTTCCACAAAAAGTACCCGTGCCTGAAGGCTGTTTGCTCACACTGCTGAAGCGACAGATCTTCTCCACAGAAACCTAGTGAACTGGTGGTTCTGCAGTCATCCTTGCCATTTGTTCTCTGCAGTCTGTGAAACAACAGCTGAATAATCCATCAGGAGACCCCAGAGCCCCTGAGCTGACTAGGCAGGACAGGGGTAGGACCCAAGTGAAAGCAAAGAGGGATTAGAGAAACAAGTGTTACTGAAGCAGCACCAAGTGGTGACACAGCCTGATTCTCCCCTGAAAATATCTGTCCTGGGGTGCAGGGCTAGTGGCCCTCTCAGACTCTGAAGTAGTGCTCTTCCTGCTGCTTCAGTAAGCTCTGCTGTCATCCTTTATCTATCGCTAGTCTTCATGTACACCTCTATCCCCTTGCAGTAGCAATAATCAGTCATAATTCCTGACTTCTGCTTCTCCCGGTCTGGTACTTAAGAAACTGAAATTGTCATGTGCCAAAAGCAAGAGAATGGGAGTTTTCAGAAGTGTTAGTAGTGCCAGCCTAATTCTTCAGCTGCTCACCCCAAAGTTAATCCCCCCTCTTCTGCCAACTGAGTCGGCCCTGAGAGCTTTTGAAATTCCCACCCGAAACTGCAGTGTCAACTAATGACACTCCACACCTCATTAGTGCTGCTGTTATTGTACTCAATGAAGTAAGGACTCGATGATGACTTTGAACTTTCTTTTTCATTTGTTCAAGATCTTTCTTCACGGTAACAACCTGAACAGCCTTCACCAGCTAATACACCCTGAATGCCTGCCCTCTGAATTTGGGGGGACTCTGCCTCCCTACGACATGGGGACGTGGGCTCGAACATTACTGGGTCCCGACTACAGCGATGAGAACGAGTACACCCACACCTCCTACAACGCCATGCACGTGAAGCACGCGTCCTCCAGCCTGGAGAGGGAGGCCTCCCCCAAACCCATGAAAAGGTTAGTCCTGCCTTCGAAATATCACCTCTTATTTGGCTTTCTGAACAGGTTTGGCATAAGTCTCACAGGAAGGGCTCATCTGGCTGGAGGAGAGGCTGCAATCTGGCAAACATCGATGGTAAGGGGCACTTCGCTCTGGGCTGTGCTCATGGTGTGGTGGGAGAAAGGAAGCCTCTCTGTGGAACCGTAATTACTTGTCTGATTACCGTGCATGAAAATGAGGGGAAATTAATGAGCCCCTGCACAGGGCATTACAGAAAGTACATCAGGGTGAGATGCTGTCCTGTATGGCGCAGTGCATCCAGCGGCACCGCTTCAGCGCTGGTCCCTACTCCTTGCCGCTGCTCTGCTGATGCTGACCCGGTTGTTATCGATGAGGGATTTAACTCCTTGAAAAGGCAGCTTTTGTACGATGAACACCACTGCCCTCTAAAGGGAAAAGGAGTTGGTCTTCTCCCTATGCTTCTGTTCCCACTTGCTCTGCAAAGCCCTGCTAAGGCAGTTGCAGAGCTGCTCTTTTAATTGCTCTGATTTTAGCTCTAGTGATCGTGCATTTTGGGCTCAGAATGCCCAAAATGACACCTCTGGAGATTGTTACCCTCAGTAGTTTGGACTGATTGTGGGGATGGGGTCAGGAAGTCGGATAGCTGGCACGGAGCTGTGTGTGGTACGGCTCAGCCAACAGCAGCTGCAGTGAGCCATGGCCGTGTAGGCTCCCCTGCGTGATGAAACATCTGCACTTGCCTCACCCTTGGCAGCCCACTCCATGAAACTGCTTTCCATGAGGATCACAGTGGTGTTTTCCTCGCTGCTGCCACTTGATGAGCGCCGTGCTCACAGGCACGGCCTCGCTCTCCGTGACAGGGAGCGGCCGTCATTTTGTCACAGCAAAATCAAACCTGACAACACAGACAAGCCATAATGTCGTGCAATTAATTTTGAAAGTCTTTCATCTTCAGAGGAAAAAGAAATGCATTCTCTATTCACAGCTCTCTTCCAGGTCAGAGGGATGCCACGCAGCTGTGTCTGCAAAGTGAGGCCTCGTGCTGGAAACACTAACACTTATGACTGACTTCAAGAGCTCACAGGGCAGAAAGACTTTCAGGCTATGAGCTGCAGCCTTGTCATGAAAAGGGGTGGCCACCTGCATTGCCAGCAGTTCTAGCTTTATAGAAAGAAATCTGCAGTTTTTTAAAGCTCCAAATATGTTGAGAGCTGTTCACAGGTAAAGCTGCTGAGGATCTGATCCCTGGCTGCAAAGAAGGGAGGGTCTTATTGTGCCCTCAGGGGAGAACCTCAGCTTGAAAATTAGTTCGGTGCCAGAAAACCCTGCCTTGAGGCAAAACCCTCTTTTATAATCTGTTCACTAACAAAAAAGTGTACTTACACAAATACAGGGAGTGGATGAATTTAATTTGTCATGTTGCCTCTGGGCAGACTAGATCTAACTTTTAGCCTAATTTCGTTACTCGGCAGTTAAGTCAACCATCTGATCTTGCACCCCGTGGTCATTACTTGCTGTTAAAGGTGAAAAGTTCACAGCTTCAACAGATTTTCTCCTATGAGTATTTGCTTTGATTCTCCTTCTCCTGAAATTATGGTTTGGCCCAAGCACAGGTAAAAGCCTATGTTTAGAAAGCATGATTGTGTGCTTTGTAAGATTTTTTTTGTCCAGATTTATATCTAAGGCGTCTTAAAAAGTATCCAGACTTCTACCAGCATTACCTGTCTTTATATATCTCCC